TCTGTCGAAATAACACTCGCGAACCACGCACTGAAAATCACGTACTGCCAAGCTGCCTGCGACAGAAATAATTTGGTTCTTAATTCTGTAATTATTTAAATCCGTAATTATGATAAAATGTGGATGATAAGTTGTAAACAAAATTTAGCAACTTAATAAAATTTGGGTTACACTCATTTGGTCTGACGTTCCTCTGGATTATATCAGAATATATAATTAAAAATATTTAGAATTTGTATACTGGTCCTAATACTTCTCAAAACTATCTGCCCCATTAATTACGCTTCATATGTAAACAGTTGTTTTTACGACCATGTACCAAACGTTTGCTAAGAACAGAAACTGAAAGCAGGCATCTTAGTATAGGAAGACTGGGTCCATTGATAATGATGAAGTTTCACATTGACAATTCCTACTGAAGAAGACCGTAAAAAACCTCGGCGAAACAGGACGCTTTATAGGAAGGCTGTGCCCATTCATATTTTATGAAGTTTTATGCTGGTAATTCTTAGCGAAGATCATACCTCAGGGCAGGAGTCAACGACTTCTGGGGATGTATTTTCCGTCAATCCGTCACACCTAATCGTATCGTCGTTTGCTAATACCGTTAATACCTTCGTGGTTTAATGGGATTTAATTTTTTTTAAGATTTAAATATGAAATAATTCATCGTCCTATCTGGTTAAAAATGGTTTTAAGGACTGAAATACCTAATGATATTTTTTTTTTATTCCCATGAAGAGTAACCAAGTCAGAAAACGTTACACGCGTAATTTAAATCGTTTAATGAAACTTACGCACGTATTAATGCGTGATTTTTATGTAGGGCCTACAACAAGCCCCCTTTGCGAGTTTGGTGAGATGTTCTTCACATAATATGCTCACAGGTGTTCAGCGTAAATAGTTCTAGACCCATCTGAAGCATCATTACCACATTTACAAAATTTCCAGGCATGTCAAAATTAAATGTTCGATTTTTTTATAATCGATACCGGATCGCTTATCACAGCCTGAGAAACGTTAGATTTAATTAAAACATTTTGATTCAGATTCTCTCTCACCAGATAAAATTAATGTATCCAGTGCCCTTTTAAGAAAGAAAATATAATTTTATTTCCTAAATCCAAAGCAGTTTGGTATGGCAACGGGCACATATGAATGAACAAATCATGTAATGTTAGTATTTGCCGGCCATGCATGAGGAAAGAATCAAAAAACTGGAAGAAGAAATAAATAATAGTTTTGTTAGAGTGTTAGTTATTTATAGAGAAAGGTAATTTGTAAAATTCATATGTGAAAATTGCCACCAAAAAATTATGCAATTTATATCCAAAGAATATAGCTGTTTGGAAGCACTCCAACAGAACATAAATATTATGTTCTAGAATATCAACAGATGAGTCAAATTCTGATAACGAAGGCATTATGGAACAAGTTTTATACGTTCATTCGAATGTATGATGAAAGGAAGCTATCTTGGGCTATTTAAAACTATTATGTTGGAAGGACGGCTAAAAACCACTACAGAAACTGAATATAATTACGAAAAAATCCCATCGAAGACAGAAAAAGTAACGCCGGGATACGATCCTACTAGTTATAACAATTATATACTGATATTTACCTACTTAATACTGTTTCCACAATAACTATGTAGAGGTTAGTGCTTGGCCTTGAACAGTACGTTGATCTGAAACACGAACTATGGCTTCCCGTTGTAACATCCGATTCAAAATGGCCAGTTTCACAACGAAAGCGCCCAGTAAATTTACACAAATTATGAATATTAATTATACAATGTGATTAGCAACAAATTTAATCACAAACATCTCCTGATAATATTAAAAAAATTATTACTAACTCTACAAAACAACCTACTTATTAATTTATGCTATTATTCACATTATTTTCAGTATTCATGTTGGCGGAGTGATACCTTTGACCATCAAAATGTCTAGAACTTTCGTAATGAATTCGCCATTATACACTTCTTAAATACAAACTTTCATTTATCAGCGTATTTTGTGAGATTGAAAAATTTGGAAAACAAATAATTGTGAACTTCTGAATACGTTGTTCATTTGATAATACTGGTACTTGATATATTTTATGGCTTCTTTCTCACGAAAAAAAAAAGTAGTTCCAAGATGGCTACTTTTAAAACTAACCGCCCATGTTAATGGACGCCACAAAGACTAATTACGCAATTCCTAGTTTCGAAGAACAAGATTTAAGTCACAATTATAATTGTATAATTTATAAAATTATTATAAAAGACGTATTAACTTGTTACAGATACAAACAACGTATTACATACAACGTACGCGAAGTATGGAGACGAACTAATGAACCAGTAAACTAATGTAAGTTAGTTTTTTCAACGTTTCTGGAAACATTTTACGAAAGCTAATTAATATGCATTTACGGATAATATAAAGTTGTCTAACTGATTTAACTTACGATACTGAATGCTGTTCTATCACACCAGATCTATATGCAACATTGAAAAAATGACTGTGCAGGCAAGCCAAGCTACGATACGCATCCGATCACCAAGCAAGTTGCACGAGCACTCCGGTAGGAATCGGCGAGAAGTTGTAGTAATCGGAACCATAATTTCATTGCAACCGAAAGATGTCACTCTTACCTAGCGTCCAGTGAAGGATTGTGAAAAAAAAAAAATACTTTACCTATGACAACCAAAGATGGAAATCATATAATTAAGACAAACAATCTTGTATTGTTTTATTAATATTAAAAATCCAATGATTGGAACATTCCTGAAAAAAATACCAAATAATATACATATGTATAGACAGAAAAGAAGACGATATGTGGGTCGACCAAGAAAGCGATGGACAGCTGCAGTGAAAACATTAAATATTCATAGTCTCTGAAGAAAATGTTGTAATTTCTGTTTGCATTTTAATTGATATGTAGCGTGTGCCTAGTTCTCAAAAACCATTTCCACCCAGGTATAGGGGCGTGGAGGTAAGGATCCACTCATAAGTAGTGACAGCTCAAAGTGAAGGGATTGTAAGGTTTAAAGTATCGCTAGCAGCGAGATCACTGTGTTAAGCTGGCGTTGTTTAAAATGCTTACAAATTTACCTCCACGCCTTCCATACACATTAATGATCTGATTATTAGGCACAGGAAAGTTCTCCGCCTTTTATGAAAACAGAATGTTCATTACCGTGATCACAATAGCTCCCATTGGCCCCTATCTAGAGCCAGACCAACGCAAACCCCCCCCCAAACCTTTTTGTCTAAGATACATTTTAATATTATCTTCTCAAGTATGTCTAGATCTTCCAGTGGTATTTTCTCTTCAGGTTTTACAACAACAGTTTTGTAGGCTTTTCTCATCTTCTCCGTGCGGGCTACATGACCAGCCCATTTCTCCACCCCCACCGTCAACGGTGTTCTGACGGACAATCCGTCTCTGAATTCTAGCATAGGATCACGTGACTCAGAGTGGACATGTGAAGCGCTTATGCGAATCCCGGATAAAGCTAAGATCACGCCACCACCCCCTCCATTCCCCTCCACTAACTAATGTGAGTCAAAATGTGTTCAGTGTTTCATATTTTTATGCGAATACGAATGAGTCAAATGAAGAACCCACTAATTAAATAAAAGCATTTTATATAAATGTACCAATGTGTATGCTATTAAATAAACACCAACTTATAGTTAATAGTAAACTTGACAAAGTTTTAGGCTACCGACTACACATTTCTACATCCCACAAGACTTATCATAAGTACTAAATGTGAAGTAATATAAATTGTAGATGTGTTGAAAACTATTCAAGGGGCCAGAGTTTGACTCTAAGGGCTTACAAACATGACAAAAATAGTCCAGTTCTGTTCTAATACAAAGTCTCACGTGGTTGAATGAAAACTAAGACTGTTCACGACATAACCCAAGGTTTTTTACGTCGTAGCCCCTGAGTTCGATTCCAGAGCTAACTAACGAACTAAACAAGTAAGTAACCAATTAACCACTTATCTCAGGTAGGGATTAAATTTAATTCCGGAGATTAATCATAACTAAAGTTTGTTTAATCATTATTATATCAGACCACAAAGCATAAGGAAGTTAGAATTATGGATATAATTAACAGTTCATGTCAAAGGAATATAAACGCGTTTTGGGCCCTGTACGGAGTATCCTAACTATGTTACATGGTACAGATCTTCCAAAAAAAAAAAAAAACAGTGCACAAGTAAGTACTGAGCCTATGAAAACACGCCCTGATTTTAGGAAAAGCAAAGGTTCATTACATGTTCACAAAAGCTATTATGAGCAATCTAACCCAGTTCGAAACCTCACTTTTTTTAAATTTTAAACATATTAAAGTATGAACGGATTTGTTGTATTGAGTAGAGGGAAGCGATATCGTGGGCTGTGCCCTATCGGAACACGATACGGGACGTCTTCAATTTTTATAGCAGCTGACAGCCGAGCACTGACCAGGCAGAGGCTGTCTTCAGTGAGTCATCGCTGTCTTGTAACTACCAGCCAGCAACGGGCGACGTAGGAACTGTAGCACTGTGTCTTATATTCCGAAGGTCACTAGTTTGAAGCCCTGCCTCTCACATTGTTTCTTACTCTACATTGGTACGGGGGGAAAAATGGCTTGAAAATATCTTGTGGGAAGTTTCTTGGTTTTTGGGTTCGTTCTTTAATATGTGTTCCAATTTTTTCGTTCTCTGTTCTGTCTTTCGTTTTATTCTCATTCGTCATTCATGCTACATTCGTTTGACATTTTCCATTCGATACTGTAAAATCTTCAGAGAAAGTAAATATGAGAGGGACTCAGATAATCTATCAGTAATTTGATTCAAATGCTGTGGTATTAAAAATCATCGACCCGGGTGCCTTGAGGAAAATCAGGATACTTAGAATCATAACTTGTTAACGTTAGAATTGGCTAAAATTGTGAGAAAAAATCCTACACTATATTTTCATGCATAAAAATATTAAGAAATCATCTATAGTTCAAATAAAATTTTATTTCATCTTGTCAATATATTTACCAATACATTTTTTTACAACAAATTTATTTTCAGGATTTTCGATCATGATAAATTTGAGACCAACCAGACACTGACATGACATGATTTCAAAGATGATGAAAGACAAGTCAGACAAAGAGGGAGGTATCGGGCAGGAGCAGTGAACGTTTGGTTGTTCTTTATTACGTCTGGAGTCTGTACACAACAACTACAACCAGAAATATTACACGTAACTTGTCAGACACTTCCAAATGATGCATTTTGCTATTACTGTGATTTTTGTACAAAAATAGGTGATTACACTAAAGAAATATTAAAAAAAAATTACACATTCGTATTGAACTGATGTTTTCTTCACAGTCAAACACCGAGGATGAGCTATTTTTAACATACAAACGTGTTCAACAGATCTAGAACTGAGTTGGCCTACCATCTCCTCTAGCTTGTTCTCAGCTGAACGTGCACGTTTACGAAATACGAAAACAAGATTTTATGGGCTCAAGTAGAAAACCTTGTTGATCATATTTCATTTCTGATTTAAAAATTGCATACAGGTGATAAAACAGGAAGCATACTTTGTAGACATTACAGCGAACAAATATCTACATAAATTCAGCATTATTTACAACAGATCGTTCTGCAGTTCTGCAATAATATCAGGGTTACACAGTTCATAAGAACTGTTCTTCAGAAACAGTAACACCTCCTAAAAATTAACTGTTTTTGAACAGCGATAAAATAACCTAGACTTCAATTCAATCACAGGCAAATTAACCTGTAAGAAAGATTGTCTCTGAGTCAGCACCAGTGTTGGGATCTTAACCCATTGAAGCCTAAGCTCGTCTAAATAATATTTAAGAATCCAGTCCGTACCGCGAAGAAAACACAACACTTCACCATTACAAAGATCAACTGGTTAACGCTGTTTAAGGAAATAATCGCTGTTTACACTGAGAATCATACGAAACATATAAACGAAAAACGCACAGTTATTGAATATTAAAGCAGGTGGTATATATAATTACCACTAGACTTTGAAGGGTAGACATTAATATAGGCCTTTCCATATAGGCTCCTGCACAAATTCTTGTGTTTACAATTGACTCAAATTTTAATTTGGAAAGGCAGGCAACTTTGATGTGTCATGCGCCTACAATAAAAATACCCTGTTTTTTTCTATTTTCTCTTCGACTCTGATGTTTCACAGTTCGTGGGCGGAAGTAATTCGTAAACATCGCAATATTTCTTGTTCCTCATTATCTGTTTCTCCCAGTTCTTACGCCAATCCTCGATATGCTTCAGTTATTTAGAATGGACGAAGGCAAATTCAGTCATTATCATCCCCACATTTGATTTCGTCACGAACAGCTGATCGTTACAGCAAGAAAAACACTCTGTGAGCTTGCATTCATCTACAATTATAACAAGAATTGTCATTTATCCACGTGATATGAATATTAATTGCAGTAAGTGGACGATTTATTTTTTTGAATTTTCTGCGTCAATAAACCTCACGAATTTTGACAACAAATTTACTACACGCGTTAGACACATGCTTAAAAATGTAAGATATCTGAGCGTTTGTGTCTTAAATATATTTTACAGTCATTTTTTTTAATATTATTCAGATCACCGCTTTAATTACCCTGCATAATCCCTTTTTCTGACTAGAACTCGACTTTCCACGTATTTTTAATTGTTTATAGAGACAGAATCTGTAAATTTCAACAGCAACACTAACCAATAAAATTAATATCTTTAATATCCTGTACACAACATGAATTAATTTAAAGTTTTGTTGACGCTACAGACTATAGAATGATTTAAATCTATAGACACTTCAAAAATTACAAAGAATAATATTAACACTGGACACTTCGATAAAATGGGATAATTTACTGTCTATGTCAGGAAACACAGAAAACATTATGACAACAGAAAATTATTATTAATTGTTTGCATTCAGAATTTGTTGAGAGATACTTTTTCTAAACCATCAGCAGGCTGTGATGGAAATAACCTTTTTAACTTTTCAAGGTCCATAAATGTTGACATCTAAATGACAGGGCCCCATTTTGGACAGACCCCCGAAAGACACGCCCCCCCCCTCATAGGAAATTTATTCGAAGACATGAAAAATCTTAACAGAAAAATTAATTTTAGTAAAGTTGTGGCTGAATTTGTAGGTTTGGCACCGGATCAGAATATTATTTCCCAAGAATGTTGGGCGTCACCTCATGGGAGTCTAAAAGGGTTTAAGACCTACTGGGCACTAGGAGATTGCCCTTTGCAGGTTATTCCATTATTACCCTTACTTAACTTCTGTATTAATATATTTAATTGAGGAATTTACAGTAAAAATGGCTAATACTTTACTTATATGCCAAATAATTCAAACAAAACAAAATAAACATTTCTGTGTCCAGACAAACGCTGAATCAGTTGATGTGAAAGTGTATTGGGTGGTTGCATTTATTTCAGGGGCAGAGTACAGAAATTGCTGAAATGATGAATGCCTGAGGGAAAAACTGAAGTACTCTGGGGAAATCCTTCCCAAGTATAATTTCATCCGGCGCCAATCTCTCATGGACCTCGATGGCGAAGAAGTCACTATCTACGTTCTAGATACAGGATAGGAAATTGTTTCCGGGTAACACGAAATCGCTACATAAATCAATCACTCTTATCTGCTTAAATTACGAAGATTTCAACACAAATTTACTGAGGAGTGTCGTCTTTTTTCTTTGGAAGAGATTTGAATTTGTTAGTTTAAAAATCTTGCGTCAGGATTGTGGGTCTAGACAGAGCGGAATCATGTCTTGGGCGTAAGGTGACACTTCGGCCTTGAGCGACACCAGGTGTTCGACGCTACCAAATGACACCACCTGCGACCCAAGCGCGGAACTGTTATACGCCGGTACGTCCTAGGGCAATTGCTGAATGATATGGACTGACAACCGTGAAATTCACACGGATTGTCCTGGAAAATGAATGACAATCTTCGCCAGACCCTTGAGCACAACTGTTATCTACACCTGCGTCGGCTCTTGTCCGTTTCTGAGCATAGTTTCCTTACGTCCAGACTCCTTACTCGTTGACTCTTTGTTGTCGCTGCTGACTGTGATGTTAGACCGCGAAGTCATGGTGATCGCGGTGGTGGAGTGGTCGGCCTTGCTGACCAGAGGACCTCGTTCTCCCTCCTCATCGGCGGAGGTACCACTCTTGGTAACCCCAGTCCCCTGTCCACCCAGAGGGAGTCTGAGGCGCTCTGAACCCGCCTGGCGATGGTGGCGTCGCGGGAAGACGCTGTTTTCCATGTGCAGCGTCGCATTGACGTCCTTGCCTGCGGCACAGGTGCAGGCCTTGAGGAAACTCTTCTTGAAGTTGTCACTCAGAAAGGCGTAGAGTATCGGGTTCATGGCTGAGTTGGAGTAGCTGAGGAAACCCGCGAATAGGAAGATGGTGAAGCTGATGATGGGCTGACACACGTTCGGTGGCGTGAATATGAGAGCCATCTGTCAAAAAGTGGATTGGATGACAAATGATTCTTATATTTTAACAAGAATTAAGGGAACTCACCGCTCACACAGAACATTGTAGGTCCCTAAAGAATTAGATAGGCGAACGAAGAATTCTATGGAAAAATCTTACGAGAAGAAGAGATAGGATGGTGGGACACATTCTGAGGCACCCAGGATTGGTTAATTTGGTAATGGAAGGAACAGTTGAAGGGAAGAATTTTAGGGGGAGACAAAGATTGGAATATGGATGATCTTCTTAATACTATTTAAAAACTGAGTTGGTGCCACAAATAACATTAAAAAGATCAGTCAGTTAATGTTGTTTAAAGAAATAATCGTTGTTTGACCTAAGAATAATATAAAACCAACAAATACACTTGTGGGTAAAAACGTAGAATTATTGATTATTAAAAACATGTGGTACATATATTTCTCACCAGGCTTTAAGAGATTAAAGCAACTGTATCTTACATCATTTATAGAAACAGGGTTATTACAAGATATTAAAATACGTCAGGCTGATTCCAGTCCGAGGTTCGAAGCGAGTACCTTATACATTAAAGTTTAGTATTACAACCATACGTACAGATTCTCGTGGCAGGTCTGGTTACACAATCGTGCCGAAGTATACATTACCACTTCATGTCTCGCGATGTACCATAAAAGAGTGAATGCAACGATGGGAGTGTCTCGAGAAGAGAACGGCGACATCCAAGACCTCGGTGTCTGTGACATGCACATTTGAAAATTAACTTTTTACTGTGAATCAAATCTAAAACTTCTTGACGATGGTGAAGAGTCAATTGAATAAAAATTTTCTTGGATATTATCCATCGTCTAGTAAATATAAAACGTAAAACGACGTTTCGGAGATGGGACTCTATCTCTATCCCTATCTCCGGTCCGGAGATAGGGATTAGCTCTATCTAGTGGGCCCAACTGTGTAGGAACCTGAAGACGGAGATAGAGTCCCATCTCCGAAACGTCGTTTTTACGTTTTATATTTACTAGACGATGGATAATATCCAAGAAAATTGTTATTCAATATATTTTATTGTTTATTCCACGCACCTGAGTGATCCAGTAGGGAAGCCAGCAGAGGACATAGACGGCTATGACAGTGAGTACCAATTTGGTGACCTTCCTATGAGACTTTTTCTTCTCTTTCGACTTGTTCTTTGGACCAACAGTTTTCAGCTTCCGTATGACGAGGAAGTAGAAGACGAAGATGAGCAAAAGGGGGATAGCGAACCCCAGGATGAAGGAGTAGAGTGTGAAGGCGGTCTGGCCGCTGATATGTTCGCTCTCTGGCCACAAGATGTTGCACGACGTATCTGTCTGTTCCCGGTCCACGGTACTTGCGTACATGAAGATTGGTACCATCAGCAGAGCACTGGCTGTCCAGGCCGTGAGGCTCACCACCTGCGGGGTAGAACGCAAAAGACAAAAGGTACGCTGTCCATAATATTTAATTAGGCCCTAAGACCTTGGGGGAATGGCGGTGAGACTCCATTCATTCTTGACCTTGCCTTTAGATGAAGGTGACTGGTGAATTTCGTGTCCATATATTTTACATCAATAGAAACAGCCCCTGGTTTTAATTGCATTGGATGCTGAGTGACCCCTCTGATCGCCTGTACTCAGGGGCGAAGTGAGAGCTATTGGCCCCACCTACCCCGAAAAGAAACATGCACTAGAACGAGTAAAATTCAGAGAACGAAATGAAGAATAAAATAAAACAGATTAAAATAAGGGAAGAAAATGTTAAGTATGAGGGAGGCACAAACACAGACATCGAGATATTTAGAGACACACGTGACATGTTACGAAGACATCGTCCACTATTAGTACAAGTCGATTTAAAACATTTACTCTCTAATGCTTTAGAGCCCTAAAACACACAATGCAAATGACAAATATTTTAATAATTGCGTTACTGTCCGTGTTATTTTATGAATTAGGTGTAGAGTCCCGCCAGGATTTTTTAACATAAAAAGGGATTCTGCCATCCAAAACGCTCGAGAAATTCCGATACTTTACACAGATTATTTGATCTGTTACGAAGTCAAAGAACGTTCAAGTCTCTCAAAGTTAACACGACTGCTATCATAAAAACTGAGGGCACAGAATTCTGAAACCTCTGAAATTCTAAGATGAGTAGCTTAATAATTTGTTTCATTCATCACATATTATTAGAGGCTATTAATTCAAGATTAATACAATGGACAGAGAATGTAGCGCACAATATCATGGTTGGAAACCCTGTAGGAAAGAGAACAGGCGTAGATGGGAGGATAATATTAAAATGAATCTCACGAGAACAGGGTTTAGGTGTGCGTACTTACCTGGATCAATATGGGGATAGGTGGCTGGTTGTTATGAACACGGTAATGAACTTTAGGGTTTCATAAAGGAGGGTAATTTCTTGACTAGCTGAACGTAATATTAATTTATGAAGAAGGATTGTGCTCAAAGGAGTTAGGTGTTATTTCATGCGGTAATTGTATATATGACAAAATTCTGTAAGCGATTGCGAGCCGTAATTCACCTTGCTGATGAGGGGAGTCCGAATTTTGGGGGACGAGATGGGATGACACACGGCGATGTAGCGATCCGCGCTCATGATGGTCAGAAATATGGAGCTGGTGAACTGGTTGATGCTTGTAGTTGTCATGTACGCCTTGCACATAATCTTTCCGAAGGGCCACGACTGGCGACTCATCGTGGTCAGTAGGAAGGGTATGCCGATGAGGAAACATTCATCGGCTACAGCCAGGTTCACGATGTACATGTTCGTGACGGTCTGCATCTTGGAGAAGCGAACGACCACGTAGATGACGAGAGTGTTGCCTAGCAGCCCCACCAGGCACACTACACTGTACAGCACCTGCGTACGAGTTCCATGAAACACTCAGATAACCTGCTATTTAGTAGGAAACACACAATCAATTTTATAAAACATTCTGTGGTGGTACCCTCGTCTCTGAAACACTAGTAAACTTATATTAGACTACACGATGCTACAACCCAGAAGTCAGCCATCTTCAATCTCACCCCCATGAAAACATCAAATACTATTAATTAAAACCTGTTTTATTTGCTGATAAACAGACATGTTTCGATACTTGTCATGATCAGGCAAATCGCATAACGTATCAACACTGATTAAAAACTAAAAGTTTAATTAACTTACGTGTCCATTTCAATGTAATATGTTTTTAAAATGAAGGCCATTTTTTGCTCATTATTTAGTTACAAAACAGTGGAATTTAAATTACGTGTTTAAAATGAATTAAAAGTGACAAATACGCACAAACGTACGCTTTCCTGACTGTCTGATGTTCTGACGTACGAAGCAAAGACATCTCTTGAGCCGAACCCAAACAACTGAAACCTAATTTGTTTACGTGAATTTAACATAAATCATAAGAAACTTATACCACATTCCCACTGAGCGTCTTAAGTAGTGGCAAAACTCTAAACTTGTATTTGGGAGGTTTCTCCTTCGAATTTAATCCAGTTTTCAGCCCACGGTCGCCCATTTCCAAATTTGTAAACTCAAATCATTCATTATAGGTATAATAATAATTCCATATCAATTATCCTTATATTATATCTGTAGTCGAAACAGCGTTGTTAAAATACCAAATAACCAATCAAAGTGGTGTCTTTCGGATTGGGCACATCGTGTACCTGCGTGATGATGATGATTAAAATTGGCTTCTCTGCGTCGCAGTGGGGCATGTAAGTGTTGTTGCCACCGCTAGAGTTCACTGTCGTCCAGTTCCACATTTCCGTCATCCACGCGGAAGATTCCTCCTCCGAGTCCACTGCGGTACTGGGGCTGTTAAATGTCACATTTTCGGCTGAAACAGCCATATCGTCGGTGGAGTACCAAGATGTACTCAATGTCTCCATGTGAACAACAACTGGATCCTCAATGAAGTGACATAATTGTTAAATAATCTTACAACGCTGTCAAAAAATTAGAACGGGACAACTAACCTCAGTTGCTGATATAAACAATCAAGACAATTCTAATTATGTTTGTTTTCGATTAAGGTACTTCAAATAAAACTTATGTTTCCTGTCGAGGAATCCATTCGAAGCGACGTTCAGCGAACACATTGTCTCAATACTATTTCTGGTGAATCATCCCGTTACAAGCATACGGGGACTGCCGCAAAGTCTTTGCAGACAAGATCCAAAGTTACGCGATTTGATTCTCCTTTGTTGCCAAATTCACCGACTTGACAAATGAGAATTAGCCTTTTTCAAAAACCACAATAACACCGAAAATCTTCCAACTCAATTACTTTTTCTACAATCAACACGCAGGTAAGTTTCAAAAGCTATTTTACAGTATTTTATGTATATTTTTATTTTGCTGTTATTCGGGGTTAATTTTAACAACCTGTATTAAATATTTTTATATAAAATATTTATTTTTGTTTTTACAACTGCGTAATCTACTTGTATATTCAAATTTCGCGGTAGCAAAAGACAGAAAGAAGTTTCCTTGTTCAGTGTAATGTCTGTGATATGAGATATTCAACTGTTTTGATAAACTGTATCTAGGAGATTCTCAGCTCCAAATTGGTCAACGTTTGTTACAAAATGGTTTAATATTTTGCTAAGAAAGCGTGGTATATCTTGCGAATTGTTTGCATCATGGAAACAGATGCGTGCGACAGAAGGCAGGTACTACGCTATGCCAATTCTTCGTATCAGATTCCACGACAATTTAATAGCTCGTCGGCGTCTATATACTTTACAAATTGTCTCTTGAGTCAAACGCTGCAAATTCTTCTCTGTATCCCGAATTTCCTGCGAAAAAAACAGAAAAACAAAACATTTTAATACACGGGACTACATTGATCACAAAGGACGACGAGCTGTGTTTACTGTGTAGAGCCCGTTAATTAATTCCAACACTTTTTATGGGCACTTGAACCGGAAGTGAACCTATATATAGAAGCGAGTGATTTCCGTGTAATGCCGCACTCCTCGTTGACCTACATATTAATTTATTACAAATTCATTACTTCGAAGCTAATAACATTACAAATACCACACCCCAAAAGATAAAGATCGATTTATTCATGTGTCTGGTTAAACACGTTAATCGGAAACATTTTAAAGTAAAATTTATAAATAGTGATGATTTTACGTAAACCCAATTAATTTTAAGAAACATAATTTTTAAACAAATCGGATAAACATAAAATTTTGGCTCAAAAACCTAAAGGAAAGAGACCATTCGGAAGACCTGTCCGTAGATGGAAGGGTAATATTAAAATCGATTTTAGGAAAACAGGATTTGGAAATGAACATGGTAACGGACCTTTAAGTTATATGACGGTCGGAAAATTTGACTAGCTGAGACACTGTCAGGTTCGCAAGACTAAATATGGGCTTCAAGCAGACCAGGGATTACATCTGATAAATTAGCAGAAACACTACATTTGTCAGAAAGCTATTAACATGGCCATCAGCTCACCCAAACAATTTCACTTAATTATTTCCTCGTTTTATACGCGTAACGCAGAGAAGGTACCCAAACACTGGTGCGCCTTCAGTTCAGTGTCTAGACTACTTGCACAACAAACTTGGTGGAGAAATTGCCGCTCTAGCACGGCGCACTGCAGATTCGAATGTCGTCACTTCTTGAAGCAGGAATAAATGTGTTTTTTGAACCTCTGTTACTCGCTTCGCACGAATTAGCTCAGGTTACCTCCAGGCATGCAACACGTAAAGACATTTAACAAACCTTCTCTATGAACTAAACTGAAATTAATGTTTTTGGTAACTTTGATTTTTTTTTCCGTATAAATCAAGAACTCGATGTCACTATAAAAAAGCATGTGTGGAATTAATGAGACGTGGATTCAGTTTATAGACGACGTTTATGTTCACTCTTAATGTCGATAACATTCAGGACGTTTATTAAAGCACATGAGTCCCGTCTCCATCCGTGAAATTACACTATTTCGCAATAACACGCGATATTGTATTTGATGCGCTACCAGACTGTTATTTTTAGTACTGTCATGGGTTGGTCATCTACTTTCCGGGCAGAAACAAACCAAATTTGCACATTCCGTTTATCAGACATCTCACGTTGGTTAGTATGTTTACATTTGAATCACCTGTACTTATAATTTCGCTGTAATCGAATAACAGCTACGTTTACTCCGAGACCAACCAAGTTCCATGGGTCATATATGAAGCCCCTAACTTCAGAAACAACGATGCCACCATCATGGGCCGGGCTGGACCTGGCAGCGAAGACTTTTGCCAGGATTCGAACCTCGGTCGTCCAGCCCGTTTCTAATATAGAGATATCTAAGCTGCTTCTTGTATAATTAATTTCATACACACATCTCAGGTTGGGGACCAGTGGAGGGCTCTTTTGAACACGGTAATGAAATTTTGGGTTCCATAAAATGTTGTGAATTTCTTGAGTGGCTGGGCAACTGTTGGTTTCTCAGTATGGACTCCGTTTCATGGAGTACACACAGCTTAGAATTTTTACAAAATATGTCACTGAAACTAAAAATAACAAAAAAAAAACAAACAATTTTATGCTTTTAAAAAAATATTTTGAAAATATAGTTACATAACCGTAATTAAAAAACCGAAAAACTTGTTAACTCTTCGAGGGTTGAATAATATGAAGTTCTTTGATATGTCAGGTTCCTTTAGGCTTCAGATATGAGATTCTGTCGATCGTAAACATGTAATATCTTGCACGAAATGATACCGCTGTGTTATGTAATGCCTTGAGATGCTGGCAGGAGGCATTTACATTTAAAGAGCCACGTAATACGTCGTCAAAGAGTTTGTCTGTCGCAAGCGAGGAGCTGTTCGTGTGTCTACGAGGAACGCGGCTATACAGGCAAAGGAATGTCTTAAATCAGAAAGCATTACGACGGAAATGAGATCATAAACACGCAAGAGAATCTGACAGGCAATATCGAGCTCATCAAAAGTCTCTCCCGTCTTATAGACGTGTCTCAACGCTTTCTCAACCTGTGGGCCGCGACAACATGATTGTAAATTTTAGGTTGTGACGGCGGTAAAAATGTCGATGCTGGTCTGTTGTGTTGCAAAACTGCGTAAACTCACGGGGGGTTAGCACTAAAGATGGAAGCAGTATGCCCCTTAGAAACACTTTATATTAAAAAAACACTTTTAAAAGTTTGTCACCCTTTAAATATCTATTCCATAATATTTTGGTCCATTGAAGTTTAGCTGTAAAAGTTTGTTATATGGAAACTCTTTTTCGGTGCATTGTAGAGAATATTTAGAGCCTTGTTTATAACTTTCTCGACGCCTGACCTCGCAAATCACGAGGTAATGAATTATATAATAATGCCGAATGTCGAATGCAGTGCTTACATATTGGTAATGCGTAGCCTGTTTCCATGGCGACTTATTTGTTTGATCAGGTGAGGTTATATTTACACGATTCATAAATTGCTTGTTCATTTTAGAGACTCATATCATCCCTCTAAACTTGCAGAAGAATTAAAACCTAGCAGATTGGTGAATCTGCAAAGCTTTATACTTGGATTATAAAGGTAGTTGGTTCGACCTTTCATAATTAAGAGCCAATGTAGGGTTAGCATCTTAAAATAACAACGCTTCCTTCTAAAAATCTGTATTTGCTAACCTTTCATGAAGATCTTATCACATCAATTAACAATATAAAACTTCGACAGTTGAGGAACCGTTGTTGAATGACGTCTATCGAAAATTTTAATGTAGATTTTTAGTATCAAAGCTAACCTAAATTTGTTTAGTAATATCAAAAATAAAAATGTAGGACGGATATGACATCACCATTATACACTTATTTTATTTTATTTTGAAAAAAAACATATACTTTTTTACTTAGACAAGCCCGTACTAACCAAGTGATAATGGAGAATTTATCGGAAAGATTTCACGAGATTCTCATTTGAATTTAAAGGTTTAGAGCCACCTAAGTCTCAGGATTTGAACAGAGAAAAAGAATGAAACAATAAACCTTTTGAATTACGCTATAAAATCTTTTCAAAAGCCAGATAAATTGAAAACTACTGTGCAAACAGAATAGGGTTAGTATTTTCATCTATACTGTGCGTGGGAGATCGGAGTCTTGCTACGTTTATAGCTAATTTATTATTCTCCACAAGTTAGCCTTTCTTTACGTTTTATTTATAATTCCATTTGACAGTTCCAGAGGGTCCACAAATATAACTATTAGAAAGCTCAAGCTGTCGAAAAGATAGACCAGGCTTTTATCGTAAATTAGTTATATAAGTTGAAGTGTTACTCAAGGCTATAGCAGCCACCGCCATTTGGTTAACACGTCAACTGCTCAGTAGAGATAAGTTATGCTAGTAATCTGAGACGTTAAACAATCAGAACCGTGCTACGAACGATATATGTCGTAATAATATCGACATTTTCTGTCGTATATTTTCACATTTTAAACTGACTCCTGCTTTCATCACGAAAATTTTGTATTCACTTATAATTTTCCCAACATAGTTATTTGGTCGTCTAGACAACCCTGTTTATTTTTAATTACAGAGTCTTGTAATACACTGATCGCTCTTGGATACAAAGTACAAAAAACTACAAATTTTACTTAAAATTTAAAGAAAACATTTATTTTCAATCACATTATGACCACTAAAAATCGGCAAATACAGGACGATCTTAAAACTAGAAACTAATTGATAAATAGTACGAAACAGTAATATACGACGTTATTAAAATTGCTGACAATGGGTTCCAGTTTAAAAAAAATTACTCTGCCCGTGACCGGAAACAAATCTTTATAACACCCTGTGGCTTGAAGCCACAGTACCTGACTCATGACGTAACATTTTATCTGGCTTCGAATCCAGACAAACAATGCTGGATTTATTGTTTATGCGAGTAAAGCGATGATGTAAAACAGGACTTACACTTTACAGCAAAGATTTGCGAAAACTGTGTATTTATAAACACAAAAGGTTAGATATTTACCTGTGAGCGCACAAATTAAAATGTTGTTAGTTGCCTCTAAGGTGAAATCTTCAGAACGAAAAATTGTAACACCTACTCTGCAAGTAAAATTGACATTTATACAGCATAAATCATTTCTAAAGGAAATATATGACCAATTAATGTTCAACTATAACTATGGTAACTATATGTACCACCTGCTACAACGTTAAAGATAACTCTTAAATTTTTCCTGTTGAGTGAATTTCAGTTTCGCTATGATTCTCAGTATAAACAGCTATCATTCCTTTAAGCATCATTACCAGCACTAATGGTTAAGGACTGGGTTTTCTTTTAGGTAAGGCCGAAATTTTTTAACATGATTTACAAAAGGTCCGTGTTTCAAATGGTTAAATACCGACATCTTTATGTCTACGAAATGCAAACGTAGTATCAACACTAATAAGCCAAAAAATGAGAAGCGGGAAATACTTTTTAACGTTACAGCAGGTGGTATATATATATATATACTACCCACTGTGCTTTAAAGCAATAAAGTGAGATTTTACGAGGAAAAGTTTCATCCATCCAAGTTATTTCCAGCAAGGTACATTTTTTTTTACAGACGCCAATGATTATGGAGTTTATGGAGAATTTTATTGGGGAATATACATCTTCGGCATTAGCAAATAAGCATACGATGCATGGATGGGGCAGATATAAGCTATCAAAGAATTGAGGCGAAGTGTTACGATTAAAGTTTTCTGACAACGGAGTGACACGGTGTATAAAACTATTCATTTATCTATCGCACGAATGTGTTTTATTTAAAATTACGACGTTTCGGACCTGTGACCAAACAGAGTAGGGTTCTGTAGTCCTACAAGTCAGATACATGAAGACGGAAGTATAATTAACTTCCGAAACATAGAGGTTTTAAACAAAACACATTTAAACTGTGGATAAAATCCATCAGAATAATCAGACATGACTGGAGAGAACTAATCGAAGGTAATAAAGTCGTTATTGTTTGAATTGAATTAAATCTGAAAGATAAAGATTGTCATGTGCTTAAGATAATTCGACTCAAAGGGCTAGACGGGGTAATTACCGAAAGGAATAAAAATTTCTCTCTTCTGTACTACGTGTCTCTGAGCTCTTCCTGGCTTCCGATTTTGCAGAAACGGAGAGTGTTCAAGAAGGCAAAGGACGCGGAACGTGAAGCTGATTATTCAAGCGTAAACCTACAAAATAAATTTTATTTTTACCAAAGTTCTTATCTTTAGATTGTCTGATTCTGATAAAATTAGAAACAGTTAAAATATACTTATCGCAAATCAAAAGTTGCCAACTAATTTACGTAAGTCACACTAGGGTATCAGAGTTGCCAACAGACGGAGATGAATATTTCACCACCATCACCTCCAGCTCTCAAACCACCTTATTAATTACTTGTCTGATTCTGAAGATATTCATTATAACTACCATAAAAACTCAAAAAAGTTCCCAGAAATATTATATTATGAGGCTAATGATCTGTGAATCTCAACAGACTAATATTAAGGTTCAACTATTAAACCCTTCAGTTTCTAACTAAACCGTCTGAATTTGTTATAACAAACAAAAACATGCAACGGAATCTGTCAGTACGACAATATCTGAGCCACGGTGATATGTCAGTTGGCCAATCAGGCGACGATAAATATGCTGTCAACTGTCACAACCTTGCACTGAGTTAAGTCACGACTGACCTACGTCCAGTTCCTCTGCTACCTGGGGATGCTGTGCGTCTCGAGCAGCAGAACTACAGACACGCACCTGACATACACCAGCACACACAGAAAACTGCCACTTCGCGTCGGTACGGTGTTTAACCCGCTACATTGGCGCATGCGTCAATGAACATCCCACACGCAGAACTCCTGAGCACTTATTTCTCATTCGAAAATCCTTACGCACGTGGCCAGAGACGAATTTCGGCGTAAAAAACAGGCCAGGCAGACGAAGGCAGAATACGAAATTGTAGCTCTGACAGCGCATCGCGAATTCTGGACGTCACCACATCAGATGATATGAATCTGGTGTGTTTTATAGCCTATCTGTACCCGACGGTGATTACCAAACTCCACAAAACATAGCCATTCTTAAGAAGCTAATAGTACTCTTAGGTAATCAATAAATTCTCCTACCGATTTTATGGAACGCGAAGATTAATTACCATGGTCATAAAAATCCGCCATCGGTCTCCATTCTGAATCACACGAATCCAATATTTTTCCACAAACATTTACCTAACATCAATTTTAATATTATCCTCTCATCACAGTCAGAACCATAAATCCTATTCACTAATACTGGCACTCACTCACTCAAGCACGGAAATATTCTGTTTATCTTTAAAGCGCACACAAATTCTGGTTACTAACGGGATTTAAACTCCGGATTTAATAACAATAAAAATTCGCTCTGAAACAGCTTACAC